CCCCAAAACCCCAAAACCCCAAAACCCCATGAATAAATATTGAAAAAATATATTGAAAATGTTAATAAAATACAATCCTAACATCATCTATATAATTATAATACATATTAATTCTAGATATGTCTTATTCATAGTACAAAAGTTAAACGAATGCGATAAATTTGCCAACTTAGATGCACCATTCAGCAGGCTTCAAAAAAGCATATTAAAAATTCCAGTTCTACAATTAAAAGTAAGATAGTCATATTAATGCCAAGCAAAAAATATAATATACTATTGTAGTTCATTGAATGTTGAGAAGTACTATGGATCTGTTTCTAAGTTTAAACGAATGGAATCTGATCTGCATTTTTCATAAAGTAACCAAAATGCTGGACTATCAAACACCACTCTTTCATTGGGCAATTTACTGGATTTTAATAACACTAACATCATATCCTAATAAATCACTTAAAACAAAAATGGAGCTGACCTATCAAATACAAATTTCATTTCCCCTCGAATACTTGAGAAGATAAGAGTCGATTAACAACAAAAGCGAAAGAGTAAAGACTATTAATTAGATTAGATAACTTCTACGATAAATGCAGATGGCACTAGGACTCTCATGATAAAACGACTTCTGAAAGATAACCCAAAACTCTTGGCAACTTATAAAACCCTAACTTCTACATAAAGCTAATTGAAAAAAGAGCAGTCAAATAGCAATATAGGCAGTTCTAATGGGCTTGCTGGAAGAAGTCAAAGTGTACTCTTTAAGTCTCAATCTACAAAAGCTCTGTTTAAGCCTCCTCCAAGCATTAAAGAGATACTAATTGGAATGAATGAGAGTGAAATGAAAATTCATCAGGATTTACTAAGGAAGTTTAGTTAAACAGCTTCAACATTTAATGATAGAGAAAACTCAAATGAGCAAAAAAATTCTACTGTTTATGAGGATAAATACACAGAATACCTAAGTTTACCAGCTATAATAACTAGACCTTCATTGGTTTAAGACGAAATATTAGCCTCCCAGTAAGTATCAAAATCAAGGATAAAATATCAAGGATAAGTAAGTTCAGATTTGTAGCGCAGAAGAGAAATTAGTGCAAGTAGAGTGGGATAATCGATAAGAATAGAAGATAATAATAATATAAATAAGCTCTCTCTAATTAAATAAGATACAGATAGAACCTAGTCCCTTCAAAATGAGAGATTAGAGGATGATAGACCAGAAGATGAGTATATGACCTATGAGGGAAATGATAAAGTCCTAGAGTTGGAAGAAAATAATGACCTTGAGGAAAGATTACAAGGATTTAACAAGAAAAAACTCTTGAAAAAAATCTAGGAGTAGATTCAACATAGAACATAAAAATATAGAAACGCTAATAACTTAAGAACCAGTTTCAATCTTACAGAGGCTACTGGAACTGCTGCAATAAATGACTAAGCTGGACCTTATCTGAATAGAAGTCTGAAAAAAAGACATAACAGTGTCAAGAAGATGCTAAGAGAAAAGACTCAAAGCAATTTGAGAGCAAATAAGTTAGATAAGAACTAAGACTAAGATATAACTCAAACACTGAGTGAATTCATTAATACTTCAAAGAATCTCGAAGTAAAGATCAAAGAAAACTAGGCAACAGATAAAAACAACAATTTAAGCAAGATCATGGAGAAGAGTAGAAGTTCTAAGAATAGTCCTGGAAAGAAATCTATGATTAATCTAGTTCATATGGAATAGGACATGAGTGGTCATGACAGTCATTAGAACGATCCTGATTTCGCAATTAAACAAGAATCTCACAAATTCATGCTGGCCTTAACAGAGACTTTCAATCAGCAGATGATTGAGAACGAATTTGATCAAATCTATAAGGTATTTCAGAAGACAGCTTAAGAAAGAAGCTCAGCCGAAGATGAGTAGGCTATCGATTATCTTTAAACTGTAACCATATTCAAAGAATTCCCTAGAAATCTGCTAAAAGAAATATCCAAAAAATTCACTACTCTTTTCTAATAGAGAAACGAAATTAGTATGATAATTTTGAGTTTAAATAAATGTTTTAGTCAAGTATAAGAATGACGACACCTATTAGATTCTAATCAAGGGCAAGATAATGAAAATAGATCCTAAATCCTCTTTCAAGCAATCGAAAGTCCTTCTTAACAGTCTCTTTGATCCTTCTGAATACCTTCAAAACTCCTCTATACTTGTAATTAAGCAGCCATCATATCTCTTATCCATAAACAAAAAGGACTTTAGTAAGTGCATTAAAATCGCAGCGCTAAGATCAGGAGAGGAGGATGATATCTAGTTCCTGGCAAAGAGAAAGTTCTTTAACAAAATTGATAAGGAATGCCTGTAAAAGGTATGCAATCTGATGGTACCTAGATTATTTGAGGAGGGTAAGAAGATATATGACATAGGTGATGTCTCTGAGGAGATGTTTATTGTAAGATCTGGCAATGTAAGTGAAGAAGTAATGGTAAACAGCAATCAAAATGGCTACTTTGAATTTGCTTAGTATTAAACTGGGGATTGGTTTGGCTAGTCAGAGATGATGCTCTGTGAAACCAGAAAAAGCAGAATCACTGCTACATAAAGCACTCTCCTTCTTTGCATAAGGAGGTCTGAGCTGCAGTAAGTCCTCGGATTTGAATATATTGAACTTCTTAAGATGCATATATTTGATCATGAAGACTTGAAGACCAGGATGATTGAGGTGTCCAAGAATAAGGCTGAACAGGAAGGGGTTCTTAAAAGATACAAACACTTTAACGAAGATGATATGGACTGATACGACTTAAATAAGAAATAAAATCAAAATCTCATATTTAAAAACGTTTATTTCATAATCAATTATTCACTTTTATTTTATTACATAAATTTCTTATGGGGTTTTGGGGTTTTGGGGTTTTGGGG